TTTTTTTTTTTTTTTTTTTTTTTTTTTTTTGGTGAAACCAGGGATTGAACTCAGACCCTTGTGTTTGCCAGGGGAAGCACTTATTCTACTGAGCCATCTCCCCAGCCCTTTTTCTTGAGCACCTTCTGTGCATAAGACCTCCCATGGGGGCTGAGGACAAAGGGCTAGACAAGACACAGTCCTGCCCTCAGACCGCACAGCCCATGCTGTCAGGCAGGTACAATCCAGTGTCAGCATCCCAAGCTGCACAGCCCCGGCATGGAGACTTCAGAATGACAAGGCGTAAAGGATTCCTACAGGGAGTCAACTAAGCAGACTCCTGAAGGAGCCCTAGCTGTAGGGGAGGAGGGGAACGATGTGCCCGGCAGAGGGAGCAGCGAGCACAGAGGATCAGTGGCAAGGCAGCAAACACTACCTTGAGATAAGATTGAGGGAGGAAAAGAGTGGGCCAGGAGGGGGACTGGGGGCATGTGAGGAGTGACAATGCAGGAGATCCAAATGGAGGCCAAGTAGCCAGCCAGAGGGGCCAGAGAACAGGGTCTGTCAGCACTGCCTGTGGCTAAGTTGTACCCGGAGGATGTCACAGAAACACCTCCCAAAACCTCTGGTACTTCTCAGCACTCCTGTGCTTCAGCTTTAAAATCACATATCCTCTCTTAAACCTTGGTTTCCTGTGTATTAAACAAATACTGCACATTGAATGCAAAGGTGGCCAGCGTGTGCTTGGGAGTGGGCAGTGGACACCAGGTCTCACACTGCTGAGGCACTGGGGCACTGGGAGGTGACCACTCTCTCTCACATTGCACGAGGGAAAGAGAGGGCCAGAGGACAGTCTGAGGTTTGGTTCTGTAAACGCGATTGCACGCAGGTCTATCTAGGGAGGTTTATGCCATTTCTCCATGTGCGCCACTTGGAAGGCTTTCTATTTCATGTGCGGGAGCAAGTGTGGCCAGAGGTATGCATCTATTGCAAAGCAGAGAAGGAAAAGAGAGCTCTGCAGTCTCATCCCACACCTCCCAGCTGGGCCCTGCAGTCTGCTTCCAGGATTTCCTCTTGGCACTCACTCCTCCTTCACCCTCTGGAACTACAGAGAGAAATGACTTGAGAAGATAGTTGAGCATTTCTGGGAACATATTACAATTCTATTGATCAGGAGAAGTTTATAGAATTACATTCCTATCTGCAAGATGACATTTGTTCCCAAACTTCCTGCATCACGTCAGAAAAGAAAAGGGCTTGCCTGAGCAGAATTGAGTAACTTGTCTTCTAAGTCTGGACTGGGTAGAGGTTTTGGAAGTTTTTCATCAGTGAAGAAAGCTGTTGAGATTCTCAGGAATTTCCACTCTGAGACTCGTAGGCTTACAGCTCGCCAGTTTCTCAGAGCTAACGCTCTGTCGTGTGGGGCTCTGTGCCTAGCATTTTGCGAGTGTTCTTAGCAACTTCCAGAACTTCAGAATTCACTGGTAAAAATTACCAGGCAATAAGGTACTTTGTGTGTAGCAGCACTCTAGGATTTTTATCTAAGTGACAACTACAAGAAATTTGTTAACATGGGCCTGTGTTTGGAGAAAGGAGCTGGAACGAAAGATAAATGGAGGTGAAACAGGTCCTATGGCTTTTTTCCTTCCCCGAAGGAAGATATTTTAGCAACTATCTTTTAAAATTATGTAACCTCCTGTGTCCTTAGACTCACCTCTGCAGTTGACAAACGGGCCGAAGCTCTGGAGCCCAGGTTGAGATCCTGCCCCACGCATCTCAGGCGGGGAGATGTGTGTGGCTTGAATTTAAAGGTGGAGCTGCGACCCACACTCTTGCATCTGCCAAATGGGTCACCAACAAGTTGAGCAAGTAGGTCTCGTGGGATATAATTAGGAGAGCAACTTTATTTTTATCTGCATCTGTCCCTGTAAACTTACTCAGTGAGGGTGGTTCTTTCTCTGCTCCCCAGTGAAAACATAGGCATCACATACCTTTTCTGGTCACTGTCAAGTTATGAAAAGTCCCATGTCCTTCGCAAGTCACAAATAGAATCTTAATTTGTCATCTTTGTAATCACAAACTTCAGTCCAGATTGGGAGCTGGCACACTTCCTGGAGGCTCCTCCCCAGCAAAGGCACGGCACCGAGGACCTGGGCCTGCCTTGTTCTCTTCCTGTCTGCTGGGTCTCCTCCCCACTTTGCTAATGGAAGCTGCAGGCCTCTCCTGCCAGGTGTGAAGTGGGGGTGGAGAACAAGCAGTGGGATATGGCTCAGGATGAGTGTTTAAAACTTGGCTTTTCTTTAATGGATGCTTTTCTGAGTTCTGATGGGGGCAGGGCCCTACCACAGGCCGTCTGCTCCCTCCTCTGTGTATACTTGAATGCCCCTCCTTGGTTTTTAAAGGAAGGTGTCCTTTGGCTTTGTAGACAGATTCTTTCTAATACACCATCACCCCTATCGCACCCTCCTGCTGATGCGCCTTCTTCTGACACCACAGCCAGGCCCTGGGGTTAATTGGTGGTGCTGGTGGTACTGGTGCTGATGGTCATGGGGTGCTGGTGGTGGTGCTGGTGCAGTTGGATTTTGCCACTAGTTTCTCCAGCTTTTTCACTTGGTTCCTAGCTGCAGAACACATTCGGTCTCCTTTAGTGGTCCAAGAGTCTGAGTTAGCAGATTCTAGGTTGGATTGAGAGAAAGGACCCTTCATTCCTCCCATTTTGATGGGCTTCGGAATCAGCACAGCTCTCTCCAAAGAAAGAAATCCTCATTTACTTCTGCCTCTGCCTCTATCTTTTCCAGTCTCTGTCTGTCTGTCTGTCTGTCTGTCTGTCTGTCT